GAACCACTCTAAATGCGCACGCGCACTAAATCCTGTGTCGGTCTAACCAGACTTCATCACGTCGTGTATGCACGCCTCTGTAGTTGTGTTTTGTTTAGCTTTTGCAATATACTCGATAATGTCATGATGTCTCACGAGTTCAGTATTTGCGCTAAACCTGCGCAGATTTGGCCTGCATGAACTTCCCCAAGAAATTAATGAGTGAACATAATTTACGAAAAGTAACCCGCCAAATTGGCTAGTGATTTGACAGCGTTACCCGCCACAGCTGATTTTTACCCGCATTTGGCGGGTTGGCGGCTGTTAATTTCAAACCCTGGATAAAACAAATACTTAAAATATTAATGCACCATGGAAGTATTTCATATCATAAAATGCAATAATTATATATTAATTAACTTAATAATTTAACATAATATTTCATAATCATTAATAATTATCTATAAAGTCTAAAAATTATAAATAATATTATAAACTATTGTTGTTATTTTATAAATGTTGAATGTTATTTGATTGTTAGTTGAATGTTAAATGCCGAATGTTATGAATGTTACGCATATTATATTATGCTGCTTTTGAAAATTAACCTAATTCAGGAGAGAAAGCAATCCCAGAATTCATTGCAAAATAAATAAATAAAATTTGAATTTTGATTAATATTGTAATAATATTGTAATAAAATAGTGTAACAAATGTGATAAAAGTTTAAATAATATTGTAATGCTATGATTAATAAATAAACAGTCCCAAGTGTTTTTGTGCTCAGCAGCTGTACACATATATATCCTCTGGTATGGATGTCCAGTATTAAATCACGCGTCACAGACGGCAGGTGATCATGTGACTCACTAACCTGTGACGGCTGCTGCTTCTTCTGCAGGTAAAACGCCTCCAGCTTCGGGACGGGTGTGACACGCACCCGAACCCTGTCCCGGACGCCCAACCGCCGGCTGAGCGGTAGCGCCACAACCCTGTAACACACAGACAGAGACAAGCGTGACTCAACGCGCCGGCACTCGAGGGCGCGACACTCACCGAAACCCGACACCGTCTGTAACTCAAGATCTTTAATCAAACGCGAGACGCTGTACAGCCAGAACTGGGCGGCTTTTGATGAGTTAACGGCAAGAAAGGGAGCGACGTGAGAAACCCTTTCTGCGATACATATACATACAGCAGGTCTGCACTTGACTTGCTCTTCCAGACCGGCAGAGTAACTTCATTACTCTGTAATATAAGAGTGAATAAATGGCCAAGAGGTCAGATTTCATCACATAACCAACTGAAATAAGACATAATTAATATGATATGTGAAAGGAGGTTTGGTTGATATGCAGAATGCTGCGTAGCCCCGCCCACCAGAGAATTTGATTGGTCCATAATAGTACTTCTGTTAACTGTGCATTAAATATTAAATAGCTTTTGATTGGCTGTCATTGTGTCTGTAATGAAAAAAATATATAATAATATATATATATATTTTTTTTTTTTAAGAATATTTTAATGTCTTAATAATAATAATAATAATAATAATGCATTTTAAATTTAAATTTTAATAATATACTGAAATATGATATAATAAACGTAACCCTGCCAAGCTCATGCTTTAATGAAAACACAACTCAAAGATAAAAATTAAAAATGAAAGCAAACTAATGTGAAAAAAATTATTTTATTAATTTGTTTGGTAAATTAATAATTATTAAAATGTAATTTTTACATTTTTAATTAACTATTTAGTTATATAATACATCATTAAAATATGTACTTAATTAAAATTATATAGTATTATATAGTATTGCTTTATATACGTTTTATATGATAATGGTAAAAACATACATGCATTTTTTAATAGAATAAATAAATAAATGAGAATAAGATTATGTTTGGATTACGATAATGAGAAATGAATGGGAAATGTGTTGTCAAAAAAATACACATATATAAAATATATACATTTATATATTACATATATATGTACATTATATAAACAACATACATTATATACATACACACACACACACATATATATATATATATATATATTTATATTAAATAACTTCTTTACAATGTATAATTTCAATACATCTTTCATTTGATTTCCATTTGAACTAATATTTCTTAGTAAGAATTGTCTATAAAAAAATTAACACAGAATAAACAAACAGTTCTTTAATAGAAAAAATAAACAAGTGCATTGAGTATCCAGTCGCTGCAAAAACACAATGGCGACAGTGTAACAATGCTCCACTTTCATTCTGTCAGAACTGACACACTAAACTACAGCCTGATATCCTCATTTCAATCATTCAGAGACGAACTGTTGAATAATACATCCTGGTTAAACGTAGAAAGCGTCCTAAGCGCACTAGAGAGAAAACCCTTAGGAGAAACCAAACCGTGTATTAGTAACCCAATCCGCTAGTGTTTACAGTAATGATATGCTACCAATCACAGTTTGCGCCTGTTAATGTTAAAATTCTCTTATAAGGTGAATATAGACGTAATACTGATACGCACCTTTCGAAAACGAACCGCAGTGCGATGAAACCCAGGGCCAAGGGCAGGGAGATGAACAGGTCGCGGGGTACGGGATGCCGACCTCCGTCCACCGTCCCTTCAGCGATGTCTTTCCATGTGACGCCAGGAGGAAGCCAGAAATCCTGCCGCCAAATCCACTGGTTTACAAGTTCCTCTAAACTACAGACGCCAAAGGAGAACGTTAGAGAGGGCTGCTAGCTTATTACAGCAGATAAACCATCTACAGATAAAGTTCAGTCAGCAGTAGATGAAACAACAAACTCTCATAATAATAACATAATGACAGAATTGTCCATATTGACTGAACTACTGCTTTAAATTGTGGATTTTGAGCACTTGCTATGTAAGAAATACTATATACACAACATATCAGGCTAATTTTATTTATTTTATTTTATTTTAATTTAATTTATTTAAAATAAAGTAAAAAAATTAAACAGACTGTGACGTCATGACTCCAACGCGATTAGCGATCGCAGTTATATTTACAACAAATCAGGCTAAATCGCAACAAAATGCTAATGACAGAATTTTAATTTTGGGCTGAACTACTGCTTTAAAATATAAATTTTGAGCACTTGCTAAGTTACAAATACAGCACTCGGACGGGTGAATATATTTAATAAAACATATTAAAATAGACAATATTACCAGAAATGTGTTTTCTTGGGCCCGCGAGAGGGTTAAACAGCCTCCGTGACGTCATGACTCCTCAGAGATTATCGATCACAGTTTTCAGGCCGAGTATTTACAACAAATCAAGCGAAATGGCAATAAAATTATGCCATAATATTAGTCGTAAAACAAAATGAAAACAAACCAACTCGCTCATTAATCTAGAAAATACGTCAAAATTGTAAATTATATCTAAAATACAAAATAGCCTATACATTACAACATCTATTAATAATCATCTAAAACATAGCCTATTGTTAATATTGACCCAACTCCTGCTTTAAAACGTACATTTTGAGCACTTTGAGCTATGTGAGAAATACAGCACTCTGACAGGTGAGTTTAAATAAAATAGATAATATTTCCAGAAATGTGTTTTCTAAACTTTAAAGGGATAGTTCACCCAAAAATGAAAATTTGATGTTTATCTGTTTATCTGCTTACCCCCAGGGCATCCATGTCTTTGGGCGCACGCAGGCATCCGGTGCGTGAGGTGTGTACGCGCTCTGGCGTAGTTTACGCAAGCGCCGGAAGTGATCTCTCGCGCGTATACGTCACTCATTGTTTACACAGTGCACAGTCATTGTAGGTACGACGGCTAATCAAAATCTGTTCGGTTTCTCGCACAAACCAATCGTTTCGTGTCTCAGGACATCAATGTGTCGCCACGAGCCGCAGGATTTAATTTGGATTTGTCTGTCAACCCTCTACATTGCGAGTAAATCACTCGCATATGCGACTAAATCTACACTCTGGCTCCAATTTTTTATTTTTTTACAGAAACACTGCCTGACCAAAAAAGCACCACCACCAGTCTGAAGTTCAGTTAAAATGACTAATATGCATTCATACATGGTTATCAAGTTTTAATTCTAATTACTAAAGTTCTATCATTAAATAATATTGATTATCATATTATAATGCTTGACTGACTGATGTTAAGAGTGAACTTTCAGATATTTATAAAACTGTGCCATTTTACAAACAAACATATATAGATATATATATTAACGTTAAAAATCATCATATTTGTTCTACTGAAGAAACAAAGTCACCTACATCTTGGATGCCCTGGGGGTAAGCAGATAAACATCAAATTTTCATTTTTGGGTGAACTATCCCTTTAATTCAGGCCCGCGAAACGGTTAACGGGCCTCCGTGACATGACAGCGATTAGCCGATTGCCGTTTTCAGGCTGAATGTTTACATAATCAGATTAAATCGCAATAAAATTATGGACAGATGCCACAAATTGATCTTAAAACAAAATGTTATCAAAGCTCACTCATAAATCTAGAAAAGACGTCAGAAATCAACAAAATCACTAATTATTTTTGATTTATTACCATAATTTAGTAAGAACCATAATAAGAACGTTCGTACCTTTTGTTATAAGGGGAAAAAAATAATGAGAAAAATACCGTCCGTACACGCCCACCTAAATAACCGCATTATTATGTTAACGTTAGCGATGCATGACTACAGTAATGTTTACATACGCGATTATAATTATAATTTAAAACGTCGTTATTACCTGTCCATGCTTCAGTGATGGAGAATGACGGATATCAGGCCTCTTCTACGCGTCTTTGCGTCGTTTATTCCCGCTCTTCGCTATGAACAGCATCCAGCATCATGATCGCTCAAGATCTAAATGAAAACAAACGCTCGCGCTGATTCTTCCGGCTAATATTCTAGTCTGTATAAAAGACTTTAATAGTCTTTTAACGGTTTCCAAGAGTAAAATAGGTCTGGCATTTGTTAAATTATCCCAGAGCCGAGAGAATCCATGAAAACACCGGAGAGACGGACGCTTTCAGCAGCAGCATCTCCTCCGTCTTTCTCTCCATCAGGGAAAAATGTTGTAAGGTGCTTTGCTTTCCACAAATCCCGGTATAGTCGCCCCCTATTGACCATTAGATGAACATATAAATCTATCTATCTATCTATCTATCTATCTATCTAAACAAAATGTTTGAAAGAAAAAAAACTAAAACACATTTTCAACACTTTAATACATATTTTGTTGCTTGAATAGATCACAAACATAATTTGACAACAATTAGGAACATTGTATTATTTATGACAGATTTATGTCCTTAACATTAATCTAGTCAGAATCCTATGTCACTGACCTTGTCATGCAATTCCCAGGGGAGCTTCTTGATTGACAAGTGCCCCGCCCCTTTCTGTGGAATCACCCCAATTAAGTCATGTGATTTCAGTCACATGACATCTATGCTAAAATTATAGTAAAAGTTCTGTTGACTAAATTTTGTTAGAACAGGAAATAAACACACTGGAGTTTAGGTGTCCCAGATTACCCAATGTCCCAGATTACCCGAATTCACCCTATCTATCTATCTATCTATCTATCTGTCTGTCTGTCTGTCTGTATAACGTATTTTAATTGCATATAAAATTTTCCATCATTTGGATTACACAGTTTTACCATAAATAATAAACTTGAATATCTGTGTCAAATATAAATGAAACAAGATTTATATGTTTGAAATACACAACCAGGTTTATACCTTTGTTATTTTGAAATCAAAAGTCTCAATGGCACATATTACTTTCCCCTTTGCCTGTTATATGTTTTTACCAAGAAAAATGACTGACAGGTGTTTAAAAGCGCCATTTAAGAGAGGCATGTACGTCAGTCCTGTCCGTCTGGCTCTTTACAATGAAGCTACTGTCTGTTTTCATATCAGCTGGGGTTTCAAATCTAAGAAAACAACTCTTATGTTTATTAATTGTTTTTGGCTGTCTCTTGACAATCTCATCTCTTGACTATTTCAGGATATTGTGCACAGCACACGAAAACACAATTTGAACTGGTCATTTCTTCTTGTCTATGTTCCATCTAATGACAGTCCTGTAAAATGCATTGCATGTGTTTTATTTGGCTTTTAGCATGCAATGCATGTTTTCCCAGACTGCAGAGCATTAAATCTAAATGCAATATATGTGGCTAAAATCCAATGTATGCATTGCAAACGTTCAGGACGGCCTTACTATGTATAATATACTCGTATGTGAGTTTCCATGATGCCAGCTGTTTAGCTTCATAATGCCAATCACTGCATGTTCTCTCTGTTATTTTAAACTTAAATATCTGATTTATCAATGGTATTTAAATAAACTGCAACTACCTAGCAACCACCCAAAACACTCTAGCAACTCCCTAGCAATCAGTCAAAACAGCCAAGAAATCACTTAGAAGCTAGCAACCAGCCAAAGCTCTTTAGCAACTACCTAGCAGCTAAAACAATCTAGCAACTGCCTTGCAACCAGCCAAAACAACCAAGAAACCACCTAGAACAACCTAGAAACCAGCCAAAGCACATTAGCACCTGCCTAGTGACCAAGCCAAAACACTCTAGCAACTGCCTTGCAACCAGCCAAAACAACAACAACAAACACCTAGAACAATCTAGAAACCAGCCAAAGCACTTTAGCCTAGCAACCAAAAAAAAAAAAAAACACTCCAGCAACTGTCCAGCAACCAGACAAAATGTTCTAGCAACTTCTCAGCAACCAGTGAAAACTCTCTAGCAACTCCCTAGCAAACAGTTAAAACAGCTAAGAAATCACCTAGAACAACCTAGCGACTGCCTCGTGAACATTCTAAAACACTCTAGAAACTGCCTAGCAACCAGCCAAAACACTCGAGCAAGTGCCTAGCAACCAACCAAAAACCAGCTATTTAGCAACTACCTAGTGACCAATCCAAAACACTCTAGAAACTGCCTAGCAACCAGCCAAAACACTCAAACAAGTGCCTAGCAACCAGCCAAAAACCAGCTATTTAGCAACTACCTAGTGACCAATCCAAAACACTCTAGAAACTGCCTAGCAACCAGCCAAAACACTCAAACAAGTGCCTAGCAACCAGCCAAAAACCAGCTATTTAGCAACTACCTAGTGATCAATCCAAAACACTCTAGAAACTGCCTAGCAACCAGCCAAAAAACAGCTATTTAGCAACTACCTAGTGATCAATCCAAAACACTCTAGAAACTGCCTAGCAACCAGCCAAAAAACAGCTATTTAGCAACTACCTAGTGATCAATCCAAAACACTCTAGAAACTGCCTAGCAACCAGCCAAAACACTCTAACAACTGCCTGGAAACCAATCAAAGCACTCTAGCAATAGGTTGTTCTAGCTGGTTTCTGTGGTTCTCTGGCTGATTGCTAGGCAGTTGCTAGGGTGTTTCGGCTGGTTGCTATGTTGTTCCAGGTGGTTTCTAGGGTTTTTTGTCTGGTTTCTAGGCTATCTCTGGAGTGTTTGACTACAGTTGCTAGAGTGTTTTGTCTGGTTGCTAAGTGTTTCAAATGGTTTCTGAGTGGTTGCTAGGTTGTTCTAGGTGGTTTCTAGGGTGTTCTGGCAGTTCCTACAGTGTTCTGGCTGGTTGCTAGGTTGTTCTGGGTAGTTGTTAGAGTTATGCTAGATTGTTGTCAACAGCTTTATAATTTTTAGCTGCTTATATCCATTTCATCATTGGACATCAGATTATTTCAGCATGCTTTGCTTTATCTGTGTCATACAGAAAATTTGCTTACTTTGCACAGTAAATGCACAGAGTACTGCAGAAACAGTATGAGTAGTATGGTAGCATGTTTTTTTGAACAAAAGCCACAGATTGTTTTTGAAGGACTGCAGGTCTGCTTTAGTGTCAGCAGAGGGCGCAATGTCACATTTGTTAAGATCATGTTTCTTTGTTGGCAGTTGCAGTCACAGCATGGAGGGTTTGAAAAGACCTTGTTGTTTGGCTGTTTAGTGTATGATGTTGGTGTATAACACAAAAACAAACAATCTTTCGGCGGTGAGCTGTGTATTTATCTGTAATGTCATGCCAAAGCGATGTCTCTGATTGTGAGACTTACTTGGTTTGAAAAAAAACAAACAAAGAGACCAAAGAGGAGAAATCAATTTAATCTTTTTTCCCTTCATCAAGAAGTTAATTTGGACACAATCTAAACTGATATGACCCAGTCTTTCTTGAATAAAAGCTTTTCAGACTGGTCCACCCTCTCACGTTTCCAGCAAATATTTCCATGTCTTATCCTTTCTGCGGAGGCACCAAATGTCTTGTGGAGGTGTTGAAGAGAAACAGGGACAGGGAGGTGAAGTTCATGGTCCTTCTGTCCCAAATAAATTAACCATACTAATACAATATAATATTCAATTATCAAATAAGAAAAAATGAGCAGCAAAACCCCCAAGAAACCAGCCAAAACACTCTAGCAACTGCCTAGCAACCAGACAGAACAACCTAGCAACCAGACAAAACCTTATAGCAGGGGTCGGCAAATAAGTTTGGCATCGGGCCAAAAATAAACTTTCAAACTTTCGCCACTAGATGGCGGGCCAGAACATAGTCAAAGGATAATTTAAGAAATTCATTTATGAAAAATGCAACTAGAATTGCCTGTGACAGACTGTTACAGTGTGTTTTGTAACTGGTAGTGAGCTGTTACTCTGTGTTAAAACCTGTAGTAGGACAGTCATTAACAAAAAGCCACATTTGTGTGGCAGTCGTCTTACGGGTTTAGAACGACAGGAGGGTGAGTAATTAATCACAGAATTTTCATTTTTGGGTGAACTAACCCTTTAATAAAGCAGAGTAGTGACACGTAACCTGGCAAGTATCTTCATTCACCAACTTGCAACACAGAACGCCTTGCTAAAACACACATATGTGGGAGATGCAGAATGGATAAAAATAACTAAAAAAAATAAAAGAGGACTTGAATAAGCCCATTAATGGCATTTGAGTCATGCTCTTAACGAACAAAGTTTTATTTCCTCTTTCCATATTGTGAATAATAAATGTGTATCATTTTAATTTGCTTGTTACACAATGGATCCTAACTTATTGTAATAATTATTTGACGTAGGCTACTTTTATGCTTCAATGGTTCACTGTTAGTTTTTTCATACCACACATTTCATGACGATGGCTATTTTAGTTGCGGGGGCAGGCCAGATATTATTGCTGGCGGGCCAGTTTTGGCGACCACTGCCTTATAGCAACTACCTAGCAGCCGTCCAAAGCACTCTAGTAAATGCCTACTAACCAGCTAACAGGGAACGTTCTCACAACTTTCTTTAAAGTTTTTTAAAAAGTTATATAAATGTTAGGACAAAATGTTGTTAAAGTAACGTTTATAAAACATTCTTATAACCTTATTCATTCTTGATATGCGTCAATGCTGAGAGAAAATGTTCTGAGATCAACATTCTAGGAATGTTCTTATGATGTTATTTGTACTCGAACGTTCTAAGAAATGTTCTTTGTGACCTTTAAATAGCATTCTAATCACGAGGACAAAACTGGACATTTTAATGTTCTTAGAATATTAAAAATAAACATTCAAATAACGTTATATTGTAACTTTGGGTGAAAATAAAGTTGGTAGAACGTTGTAAAAAAACTAAAATTTTTGTAGCTTTTAAATAACATTATAATTACAGCAAGAACATGGTAGACATTTCAACATTTTAGAAACATTTCAAAACAATGTTCCCACAACGTTTTTCTAAACTAGATTTGTTGCAAATTTGTTGTTCCACTCTTGCAACTAGAAACCACTCTTGCCATAGAAACCACCTAGAACATCCTAGCAAGCAACCAGCCTAAAACACTCTAGCAGCCACCTAGCAACCAGCTAGAACACCCTAGAA